AGGATTGAGGTAAGACTGACGGGCCTATAGTTCCCCGGGTAACACATGCCCTCCAGCTCTGCCTCTGTCACTTCTTATTCCATGGTAAATTCTCATCTTGTTGTTGACACTTCTCAGGTATTGTGATCAGATTGTGGTATTTCCACATAGGTTTCCAGACTGTATGAGAGGCTATTCCCCTAGTACTTAATGAAACAAGAATTTTGGGATTAAGTGAATGCAGCAGGCCCCTGGTACAGTCCCTCCAGAGCTACAGAAAACTCCTTGTTCTGTGATAATAACTCTATTTATGGATCCTTAACTAACTCAGCTTCTTTACATTTTTAAAACTATATAGTCTTCCAAAAGCACACATTTAACCTTTTTATATCCCCTTTCATAGCTTGTCTAGAGTTGTCTAATGGCTTCCACCAATAGCTGGACCTTTAATCAACCCCAATAACTTTCCAATTTTGGATGTTATAGCATGAGAGTATACTTATATATTAGAGTAATTTTTGGGAGCTTAGAGAACCCTACTTCCAGGAAGTGCCTGATAAGAGAGGATAATATAGGTGAAAGTAGGAATAAAGGTTAGATGTTGCACTGTCTTTCTTGGCTTTTACTCTTTTCCTGCTTGAACCCCGAACATTGCAAGTCTGTGAAATCAGATACTAAACATATTGAAAAACAAGCACACAAAAGATAAAACAACAGTCATGACTGCATACTAGATTCCTGCATGCTGGATTCCTAGAGTTTGTGAAAAGGTGGAACTGAAATATTTAGAAGTTAAACATTCTTTGAGGGGGCCAACCATTTTGGCAGGAATGCCACAAATTAAGCCTTTTCCTGAGTGACACTGATCCCCTTCTTCGCCTTTCTGCCCCCTTGCCCTGCGCTGTCTGTCAGATACGCTGCTTGTCACACACAGGAGCTGCCCATGACACTTGTGCCATATGCACTGCAGGTTGGTCTCCCCATCTTAGATCACAATGAGAAAATGACAAAATTGCAGTGGGGCTAGATAAAAAGGAAAATGAAATTAGAGCAGCAGCACTATTAGCTGTGCTGGACTAAGGCTGCCACATGTTTTGGTAGCACCTGAAAGTGTCAGCAGTATACGAGGAGGACCCCAGTTGACAACAAATACAAGCAACTAACCTGGGAATGGGAGTTCACTCAGTATATCTTAGCCATTTCAATAGCTAGATTGAATTGACAAAGAATGTTGGGAAAGCTAAAGAAACTCCTACAGACATTTTAAATAGAAACCTGGTAAAAAGCTTGGTGCCTAGACTAGCATAACTGGCAATGGTGGAAGGAATAGAAGGCAAAAAGGAAGGGAAACATGTAAGGGCCAAAATGTTTTTTGATCAACAAGCCAAGGCACATGCAGAACTACAACCCATAAGGTGCCACGATCAAATTATTTTTTCAGGGCAGATCAAGGACATGAAAGCAAGTAATATGTTTTGCGTAAACAAGTCTTTAACATCTGTGGAATGAAGAATTTAGAAGGAATTGGATAGTTTATAATGAGTCATGAAGTTAATTTACTCATTCATAGTCTCATAGTTTCATAGTAGCTAGGGTCGGGACGGACCTGAACAGACCATCTAGCCTGACCCCCTGCCACAGGCAGGAATGAATGCTGGGTTCACAAGACCCCAGACAGGTGAGTATCCAACCTCTTTTTGAATTTACCCAAGGTAGGGGCGAGGACCACTTCCCTGGGAAGTTGGTTCCAGATTTTGGCCACCTTAACTGTAAAATATTGCCTTCTGATCTTTAACTTAAACCTATTCTCCATCAGCTTATTACCATTGTTC